CAGCCTGCGTTTGATGACTTTGATGTGTGATGTTCTTAGTTTTTCGATTTTGTCGTTGTTTTTCCGGGACTGGCCGTTGGTGGCTTTGAATCCCTACCGCTGGGCGGTGTGTATTCGGATGCTTTTAATAAGAAAATATTTTCTAAGTATGAAACTCGTTTTTTATGTTAGATGTAGAGGAAAGAATACGAGTTGTCATCTCGTACCTAACTCTTGGTGTAAATCGTCCGATTCGTTAACTCTGGAGATTTCGATTTTCGCGAGTGTTTAGATGTGGGCGAAGAGACATGCCTTTAGGATCTCGATTCATGCCTTGAGAGTTAGCGACCAGTGTGCGATGACTAATCGGCTTTCGTTTTGCCTGTTGCGATTTTAACCTGATTACATACCGATTTAGAATCCGCGATAGGTTCTCGGCTTATACGATTCGTCTGGTTGGAACCGAGCATCTCACCGGGAACAATTTCTAAGTTGCCCGGAAGTGCTGACCCAAAATTTGAATTTCTTTTATAGCGCGCTATTTTATCCTCGTCGGATGTATGCGGACCGATAGGTCGGTGCGTTTGTTTTGGACGGCTAGCGTGCTCGACGGGGCCAATCGCCGAGCGTTCGTGTTTTTATAGTCGCGGACGGACTTTGGGGAAATATTTTTTCTTTGAGAATTTAGGCGACGTCTCGCCCGTTCTTTCCGAAAATATTTTGATATGCGAATTTTTATAAAAATGATTGAGTAGTTGTTACTGCGGAAGCGATTTTCCGGATTTGTGTTTTTCGATGGTAGCAGAGATATTCTAACTTTGCCTTTATTAAAAATTTCGAAAAATTTTTGATTACAAAGCTAAAAGAAATTTTGTAAAAAATTTCGGGAGTATACGAATACTCGTATACTCACCCACTCCCCCCCCCCCCCGCTTTGGAAGGGGGGATAGCTGAACTCGTCTTTAGGCGAGCTGCCTACGTATTCCTTTCGGAAATTAAGCCATCTCGTAGTTCTGATTGTTTGCGCGAGTGTGCTTACTCGGCTGTCGTAGACTTCTCGATCGCCTCAGTCGCGGGATCGATGTCTTTGTCCGGGATTGTCTCCTCCGGTTGGGTGGAAGCGACAGGTGCGGAAACTTCTGGTTTCTCGGCCGTTGCTTGCTTCGGGTCGTCGTCTGCGGGCGGTGGTGTGACCTTTGCCCGTTTTGGTTTCACGATTGCGACCGCCAATTGTCTCAGCTTATGTTCGGCCAGGAAGCAAGATCGCGATTGTCTTTGGCATCCCCGAATTACTGCGACTCCCGTAGGCGTCGGGAATTTGATGCCTAAGTGATACGTGGACAGAACCGCCTTCATGGAATTTATCCAAGGCGTGCCCATAATCACGTTATAGATAGCCAGGAAATCGACTACTGCAAAGTTAACGATTTTCGTCACTTCTTTCGCGACGACCGGTAGTCGTATTGATCCCAGGGTCATTGACGTTTCGCCGGAGAAACTAGTCCGAGAGGTCGATTCCCATTCGTGCTAGCGTGTTGCGGAAGATGACGTTGACCGTGCTTCCGGTATGAACCAGGATTCGAGCAACCTCTAGATCGCTTATCACCAAATCGATGACAAGGGGATCGGCATGCGGTTGGTCAATTCCACCGGTTTCAGCATCGTCGAAGGAGATTACCCCTGTCGGAGAATCGTCCATCGTCACCTTCCAACTCGAGCCGGTTTCGGCTTTACGTTGGTAGGATTTTATTGACGAGACGGTGTCGTTAAAGTATGGCGATTCGCCGATGATCATGTTGATTTTTCGGCGGTTAGCATCGTTACCCTTCTCGTCTACTTTTCGTCCGCGTTTTTCGCCCGACTGATTTCCCTGAGGCGGGGTTTGCGTGTTTTTGTCATTCNATGGTCG